TGGGTCATTTACATGTATTTCCCTTAAAATTGACAATAGAAAAGTTAGTTTAGAGGTGAAATTGTAATTAGGTCAGTAGATTGGGATAATAGTGCAATTTTCTCATATTTCTCATATTTTCTAATAGGTCCCTCAGTTATCAATTCTTTTAGTTTCAAGCGCACCCAACGTACGAAAAAGGTCTACCAACGGTGCCAACTTTAAACCCGCGCAATCGCCGGCTTCTATGTCTTCCTCCGAACCGCCGGAACCGCTATCCCTAACCTCCACTAGTCCTTACAATACCGCCGTCTCCTTCCTCTCCCTGCCACCGCAATTGCCACCATCTCATCCCCTCATCCCTCCCCCTTCCTCCCTCCCCCACTCTAAACTCATCCCCAAAACTCGCTTTATAGTCGATGGTTTCAAACACGCCGATTCCAATTTCTCCGTTTCATACTTTCTCTCCCACTTCCACTCTGACCATTACACAGGCCTAACGCCGCAATGGTCCAAAGGCATCATATATTGCTCCTCCATCACTGCTCGCCTCCTCCACCAAATCCTCAAAATCCCACAACCCTTCATTTTTCCGTTACCTCTATCCCAACCCGTTTTCATTGACGGCTCGGAAGTTTCCCTTATCGACGCCAATCACTGCCCTGGTGCGGTTCAGTTCTTATTTAAAGTCCCGGTATATTGTAAGAGTAAAGGTAATGATGGTGGTGAAGGTAATAACAATGTTATTAAGTTTGAAAAGTATGTTCATACTGGTGATTTTAGGTACTGTCATGAAATGAAGAGTGAGAGCGTGTTAAGTGAATTTATTGGTGCTGACGCTGTGTTTTTGGATACGACATACTGTCATCCAAAGTTTTTGTTTCCTAGTCAAGAGGAGTCCATTGATCACATAGTTGGGGTTATTGAGAAAACAAGGTGGCAGAATGAGGGTGAGAATGCGAAGAATGTGTTGTTTCTAGTTGCGACATATGTTATTGGGAAAGAAAAAATTTTGATGGAGATTTCGCGGAGGTGTAAAAGGAAGATTCATGTGGACGGTAGGAAGATGTTGGTTTTGAGTGTTTTGGGGTTGGAGGAAAGTGGGGTGTTTACGGTGGATGAATCTAAAACTGATGTTCATGTTGTTGGTTGGAATGTGTTGGGTGAGACTTGGCCATATTTTAGACCCAATTTTTTGAAGATGAAGGAAATTATGAATGAGAGGGGGTATTCAAAGGTTGTGGGTTTCGTTCCAACTGGGTGGACTTATGAAGTGAAGCGGAATAAGTTTGCGGTGAGGACTATGGATTCATTTGACATTCATCTTGTTCCCTATAGCGAGCATTCGAACTACAATGAGCTGAGGGAGTATGTGAAGTTTTTGAAGCCAAAGCGGGTTATTCCCACTGTAGGTTCAGATGTTGAGAAAATTGATAGCAAACATGCTAATGCAATGCAGAAGCATTTTGCTGGTTTGGTTGATGAAATGGCCATCAAGCAAGAATTTTTGATGGGTTTCCTTCGCTGTGGGGCCCAGGAAGTGGATCCAAAGGTTGATAAAGATCCTGCTTCTCCTTTGGACAATTTCCCAGTGCAGAAGGATGATGGCACTTTGTCTGCTCCAAATTGTGGCAATGACATTGAAGTGGGAGGTGACACGAAATCTATATTTCCTCAGCACGAACTTGGTTCCCCTCATTTAGTGCTCCTGAAAGAAAAAGAGAGAGATAAATCTGTTCAAGAACTTCAAGACTGCTTGCCCAGTTGGGTGTCTCGATGCCAGATGTTGGATTTACTTGGTGATTCAGGCGGAGACATTGTTGAAGCAGTCTCTAGTTTTTATGAACATGAAATTGAATTCCATAAGCAGGCCATGGCGAGTACATCTGTCCCCTGTACTTTGCAAGCAAGTGCAGAAAATGAGCCTGCTTTGCCCTTTGAATCACTTCCTGTTAAGAGTGTGCATAATGATGAGGATGTTTCTTGCACTCAGAGCTATACATTATCTCGCTCTGGAAAGTTAAAGAAGAGTGGAATTGCTCCAGGGAAAAGAAAGAGAAATCTTGATAGCAAGCCGACAAAAAGAACACGAACAAAACCAAGCCAGTCCTCTGGTGGTTCAAAGCAGTATACCATAACAAGGTTCTTTGGTAAACAAATGCCTGTTGTCTCTGAAGATAGTAAAGTTGGAACAGCATTTAATCAATGTAATGATGATCAAAGTAGGTTTGCTGATGATGCTACCGAACCATACAAAGAAGAGGTGGATCAGTTTATTCAGATTGTAAATGCTGGTGAACAATTAAGAAGCTATGCAGCTACCATCCTCGAGAAGGCTAAAGGAGACATCAATACGGCTCTGGATACATATTATAGTGATTATACTGTTATTGTCAATGAGAAAATAGGCAGGTCGCCAGAAAGTAATGAATTGATTAAATCTGAATGTTCCAGTAGAATTTGTTCTGACAAAAATTCTGATCTATCACAAAGCAATAAATTGGGAAATAAGTCTGATATTTCTTTTGCTGCTCAACCAACAGACTCTGGGAATTATTTATTACTACCTCCTGACAGATATTCTCCAATAGAGCATGGTCGGTGAACTCGGTCTTTAGCCAATTGATTGCGAATTTATACGAGTCCTGTCGACATTTAATATTATTGTTCAAATGACCCTTTGCTTAAGGCTCTGATTTATTTCCAGCTTGCTGGAGGAAAGGACAGCCTGCTCCATACATACATATAGCACGGACTTTTGATCTAGTTGAGGATGAAAAGGGCAAGCTAAAAGCTACATCAATGCTATGCAATATGTTTAGGAGGTTTATTGCCAGGATGCTTTTCCTTTTCTCCATGATGTCATAGGCGTGTCATGTGTTATTTGCCAAGTTATTAGGCTGTGCCTCTATGTAGCTTGTTGATTTTATCCAAGTAAGACATTCTGTTATATCATCTAATATTGGTATTGTTCATATACAGCTTGCTGGCCCTTTCACCTGAGGATGTGCTGCCTGCTGTTTATTTGTGCACAAATAAAATTGCTCCTGACCATGAAAATATGGTAGTCTTCTATTTGTACCTGCATTTTTCCTTTCATTCTGTTCTGAGTATTTGCATTTAGCTTTACACTGTTGAATTCAGTAGTTAAGTACTACAATGATTTTGTATCACTAGGATGCCCGGGGCGGGGATAGGTAACGGGCACCCCGCCCTGCCCCGTTAATTTTTTTTTAGAATTCAATACTTTAAATGAAAAATTTCACAAAATTTCATTAGTTCTAATAGAAAATAACAACTAAAATTATTTGTCTAAATCTAATGAATATGGGCAATAAAAATAAATTATCAAAAACTAAAAAAAAAAAAAAATTAAACGGGGAACCCCGACCTGTCCCACCCTGTTAATTTTTTTTTTTAGAATTCAATACTTTAAATGAAAATTTTCATTAGTTCTAATAGAAAATAGCAACTAAAATTATTTGTCTAAATCTAATGAATATGGACAATAAAAATAAATTATAAAAAAAAAAAAAAATTAAACGGGTAGTAGACGGGGCAAGAACCCCGCCCCGCCTTGCCTTAAACGGGTAACGGGACCGGGACGGGGTGGGGAATTTCTTAGCGGGGCGGAGGGCCCCTGCCTTGCCCCGTTCCGTTGCCATCCCTACTAATTTGGCCTCCACTTTAAAATATATATTTTCTGTCATTCATGTTAGAGCTGTCGCTTTGGCCGAGAGGTTAAGGCGTGTGCCTGCTAAGTACATGGGGTTACTTATCAAAAAAAAAAGGTCATTCATGTACCTTTTGTTTCAGTTTGTTTCCTTTTGCTAATCATCATAGTAACCCAAATATATGGCTTGTTCACATTTATTTCCCTACTCACCTGGAATTTTGATCTTATTTTTGTGTTTATTATTCATCCTTATATTTGATGTTGGATTTGGAACTACGTTTATTTTTCCACATTTAGTCCTTTAGTCTATGAAATGAATGTATCAGATTTTTGTTGTTTAAAATTGGCTTATGTTCATCATTTGATGCTTCAAATTGCTTCTGATTTTAAGGTTTTGATTGGGATGTCTTGCTTCTGTCAATATATAAAGAGACCTATGTGACTGTTATTTCGTAGGTTTTTTGGATGTGTGTTAATATCGTCACGATTAATGTGTTTCTTTGGGATAGTTCAGAAAGTTCATTGTGATTGTCAGTGTTGCTACTGGAGGATTATTATAGTGGTGTGTATCCAGGTACTTGCACTATGCAGGGATTAATGTCTGCATTATTTTTAAAACCTGTTACCCTGTCAACAATAATTCAAGCTGGTTTTGGCATATTTCATTGAAGACCGAATCCTTGTAATTTGGGAGTTTATACTCGAGAAGGCATATTGCTTTATAACAAGGTTATTTAAGCTAAGAAAAAGATTGTAATTTTCAAAATTGAGGATTGCGACTATGATTTCAACGGTTCACTTGCTATCTGTACCTCAGGGCTGTTCCATTACAATTCTTGCTCAGTGATTGCTTTATAACAAGGTTATTTAAGCTAAGAAAAGGATAGTAATTTTCAAAATTGAGAATTGCGACTATGATTTCAACGGTTCACTTGCTATCTGTACCTCAGGGCTGTTCCATTACAATTCTTGCTCAGTGTCCTTGAACACTTTAATGGCTCTATTGACTATGTTGTCATGGTGATTCAGGAGCTGAATATTGGTGCAAGCATTGTAGTTTCAGCCCTGGAAGAGGCATGTGGGACAAACAGGTCTAAAATAAGCAATCTTTATAACAGCCTTGGTGATCTTGGTATGCCCGTAATTTTGTCCATAAATTGTAACGTTCTCTTATATAAATTTATATCCATCAATATCAATATGTCTTCATGCTGATGATGCATGATGAATTAGGCGATGTTGCTCAACTTTGCCGGCAAACACAATCACTACTTGCCCCTCCACCAGTTCTTACAATTCAAGGAGTGTATTCAGTTCTCCAAAAGATAAGGTATGCATTGCCCAATTCTTGTTCTTAATATACGACGAACTCTTTTAATATTTGAATTATAATTCATAAAGAAATTGTTGGCAATGTGTTAAAGCATATTTATTTCCTAAAACCCGAAATATGTGCACTAGGTTTCACTTGGAGCATGTTATGATATAATATTCTATTTATGATAGAAATATTGCATTCTACCTTACCCCAGTGACTGGCAGAACTTTGATAGTTCATATTTAATACAATAGTAAATAATTTTGCTCCTGAATGTATTGTTCCATCATCAATCTCAGTGTAGTTTATCGATGATCTGCTGCTGAGGCTATGCATCTATTTGTTTGCTAGTCTTCTGGATAAATTAACGTTGATAGTTTACCATGTACACAATTCTTGCTTTTCCTCGTACCCTATGGGATTTTAGTCTTATTCTGAAACCCCATATACTTGCGTTAGCAAGTGCAGGTGCCTGAAACTTTCTTTTTTAGTATATATACACAAGGATTAGTCTAAATGTACACAATTCATTACATAATGGATTACACCCCCCTCACATGGAGGGGGGCCACACACAATAAAATATTCGTGGGCCCCCCTCCATGTGAGAGGGGTGTAAAGCTGTGTGTACACCACGAGGTGTACGCATAGCATTTTTCTAGCTAGAAAGCTAATAAAAGAAACATCGAGGGGATGGGATACATGTGAGGGGGTGTAATCCATTAGTAATGGATTGAGTGTACATTTAGCACAACCCTATATACAAACATCAATCTACAACTGGGAGAAAAATAGGTTCTTAGTTAGAAGACTCATCTCAAGGTCTCTGTTTTCTTCTACGTATCTTTGATTTTGTTCATGGCTTTGTTGCTATGCATTTATAAAGCTCCAATTTATGGGTTTGATTTGTTACGCCCAATTGCTTCATTCTTTAATTCGTACAAATATTCAACTTTATTTCCTCATTTCAAGCGCCCATTATTCTATACAGTATGTAATATTCAGGTCTAAAACAAACAACTTTGATTTATTTAGTGCATTCATAGGGAAAATCAAAACTTTTATTCAGTAATTATAAGAAATGAACAGGAATTCTTTTATTTTCTGTTCATTTTTAATTAATATTAATTTAATTATAATATTTCTACAAAATATATAGAAGAGGGAAATTAATTTTTAAAGATTGTTTCAATTGCATCCATTAGTAGGGAATTGCAAAGGACAGAATACATGCATTTGACATACATTAGCACCATTGTGTGTGGGCCAATTTATATGTGAGTTTTTCACTTAAAGGTCTTTCTTTTTCCCAAATCCAGCCGTATGTTGTATGCATGTGAAATGAGTATTATTTTTAGGGAATTGGCCCAAATGGTGTATAACCTTCAAATCTTGACACAAACATCCCTAAGCTTTCACTTAATGGGCACAATTGGTCATTTTGGATAGTTTTCACTCAATTGGCCGTTAAAAAAGTCATTTTTTTATGTAAAGACCTAACTGTCATTACATTAGTTAAATAAATAAAATAAAATAAGTAAAAAGGCAATTTTTTTAAAAATATAGGACAAAAAAGAAAATTCAGCTCATCCTACCAACCAATCTCGATAAGAGCATCTTTGATGCAACCGTCAATTGCTTGAAATTTTTTGTCATTTAAACAAAATGGAACGTGTTTAAAAATTTATTAAAAAAGGTATGTTAAAAAATTACTCTTCTATCGAAGTTAACAAGGACTCCATCAAGATAAGTGGCAAATATTTTCTAAAGCTCCGCCTAGATTCAAAAGGTCCGTTAAGACGTTAACTCAGCCAAATTTATATTTCATATGTAGATTTAAATGAGATTTTGTGTATTTTAGGAAAATAGATGACATTTAACTAGCAATCCATAGACTGCATTGGAAACCAATTTTAAACTTGAGTACTACTAATTAAACATCAATGTTATGTAGATTGAAAGTTGATATCTATTTTTCCTTCGAATGCCTCATCTTGATGAGTCCTAATCATCCTACATTAGAGGTGTTATTTTAAATATCTTCTATTTTGCTTATATGACACAATTTATAAAGCCATCAACGATTGCTGCGGAGAGCTCTTGTCAGAGATTAGTCGGTAGGATGAGTTATGTTTCTTCTTGTCATATTTTTAAAATTTTTCTTTTCCACTTATATTTTTTTGTTTGACTAACCGTATGGGCATTTTAGTCTTTTCATAAAAAAATATACTTTTACGTTCATTTGTATGAAAATCATCTAAAATGACAAATTCCACCTATTAGGTGGAAGGTTAAGGATGTTTACCAAGATTTGAAAGTTAGGGGTCATTTGCTCAACAACAGGTTAGGGACCATCTGTGCCAATTCCCCTTATTTTTGTTATATAATTTTTATTATGAATTTTGCTCTTCCCAAATGAGACTCAATCTCAAGCCACAGAATTGTTGAGCCTTCAATCTTACCACTTAAGTTAGGCATTGATCTCTTAAACGTAATAATTAAATCTCCATATTAATTGAAAAAATATTAACTAGCTAATTAATTCATTATAAATTTCTTAGGTTAGAATCATGATTTTTTAGTTGTTGAAATGTCAATATTATGTTATGGTATTAATTTTTTAAAAAAATAATATTATTAATATAGTAAATTGTACTTAGTGGTGTAAGATTTAATTACGTGTTTGAAATAAATTGAATGTGAAGGGTATTTTTGACCATAAACCAAAAAATGTAAGGATAAAATGGGAAATTGAATGTTTCCCACCTATCCTCATTTTTTATATGTTGTAGATAGATGTAGATAGAAATGTCTACAAATGCAGAATATATAGAGATTAAAACCTAATTTCTCGAACTTTAAACTGAATAAAGGCGACGCTAGGCTCCTAAATAACAATAATATCTACTGGAGTAAAACTTTTTTCCCATCAATCTCGATTTATTTTTAGTATCTTGCAGACTCGTGTTATTCTTCGTAAAAATGTACCTTGTTTTCATTGAATTTCAGTGTGCAAACAGGTAGCGGCAGCACATTCCGGAAGAAAAGTCTCATTGTGAATCTCATGCGTTCATGTCGAGAGAAGGAAATGAAATTCGTTGTCAGAACTTTGGTATGCTTAGTTGAACATTTCGGATATTAATCTCATTTTCTTTAAAGAAAGTCTTCTGAATCAATAATGCAAATTTGAAGCAATATTTCTGAAGAAGGATAGGTGAGCTCATTTTGGTTTTCCATTTTTGCTAATGTGTGAGAGTATCCGGAAACATATAGCTTTCCTTACTGTATTAGTTAAGACTTTTAGGGAAGATATTGGATTTGTCCTTGGTGTGGTGGCTTATGTTCTTGCATTGTAAGTTTGGCTCTATGAGTTTGACTCCTATTTGTCTATGTTAAGTGATAAAATCTCACATTGAATAAAGATGAAAAACATAGACCAATTTATAAGGGTTTGGGCTACTCCTCTTAATAAGGTTGACATTTTAAGATAGAATCCCAAATTTTAACATTGTGTCAGAGCCCATTAAGTTCAAACGAACGATTCGATCCTTTTAAGGTTCAAAAGTGAGCACACAGATTTCAAGACTAGCCTGCTCAAATAAGTCACCATCTTATCTGGGGCATGTTAAGGGATAATCCTACATCGAATAAAGATGAAAAACATAGATCAATTTATAGGAGTTTGACTACTCTTCTTAATAAAGTTGACCTTTTAAAATGGAATCCCAAATTTTAACAGTCTACTTATTCTCCTTGCCTTTTTAACATGCATGCAATTCAAGATGAGATTAAAAAGATAGAACTAGAGAGATTATAGCTTTGAGAAATAGGAAAATGAATTGGTACCAGAGTTCAACCTAAGTCTCTCATAAGGTTGAGAGTTCGAATCCCGTGGACGCGATAGAAATCAATGAGGAGTAACATGAGTACATGCTCTTCTAAAGTGGATAGTACGTATGAGTTAACGCTCAATGCAAGGTCTAGGCATTTACAATTGTGATGTCCTGGATCTTAAATTATCTAGTGTCAGTAAAACTTACTTAAGAGTTCAAAGTAACATAAAGAAAGACTTAAATGAAATCATCGACGCAATAAAAAGACCAATGATTAAATAACATTCATAATAAAAAACCAATCTTTTCAAAACAAAGTCGCAGGTTCAATAAGTTTATCTTAAAGAGAGAAGAAAATGTCCAAAGGAACAATCACTTAAAACCATATAATAGAAAAAAATATATTCCTCGAACATATTTGGCCCTTGTTTGGTCCTCATTATTTCTTAAATATATTTTTCTATCTCTTATTTTCAACCACACATTTTTCAATAAAATAATATTAGACGTAAACCCAAAATTTTACCTTATTTTTTAACTACGCATTCTTCTCAAAATAATATTCTAAAATATATTTTCATAAAAAAAAAAAAAAGGGGGTTCAAACAGTCTTTTAATAAATCCCGCTTGTAAGTCATCTCCTTGCTTGACCACTTCTAATCGCTAGTTCCCTGTAAGGGGGAAAGTAGTGGGGTGAGATAATACTTAATAAGCTTGCACTGTAAATATGTAAATCGTGTTAAAATTTCATAAATGAATCATATCATACCTGAGGAGATCAAGAAAATACCAAACTTAGGTGATAGAATTTCTTGTGCGTAGCACTACTAAAATCTGATTCCCTTTTCATAAACTTATTCATATTGGACACATAAATTTATCCCCAAAATAGTCACTATAGACAAAATTACATAACATACCCTGCTTGAAACTAAGAAAGTGCGTGAAAATTTCTTGATACAACCCAAACTTGACATTTATTTATGCCCTGTTTGGTACACATAATTTTTTTCATTCTCATTCTTCTACTCATTTTTAACCACACATTCTTCAATAAAATATTATTTTCTATCACATCAATAACTTTTCCTTCATTTTTAACCAAACATTCTCCATCAATCTACTATGAATAATATATTCTTTCAAAAAAATGTGTCCCAAACACACTCTTATTAAACCTAAAGTTCTTTAGTGGGTGTATTTGTGTGTGTGCGCGTGTGAAAGAAGAGAGAGAGGTTTGTCGTGTGGTGGATGTGCTTGAGTAGTGAGTTTATTTACAGTTTAAGAAGAACTATTAATAAGGTTGCTTTTGATTAATAATATTTCGGCCTTGTATGGGAGGGATTAAAATCGGATTAAAATTGAAAATATAGCCGTTATTGTTGACTTTTATTAGACGGGTGAGACCCAATAACGGCCATATTTTCAATTTTAATTGGATTTTAATCCCTCCCGAACGGGGCCTAAATACAGAATAATTTTGACTAATTAGCAGAAGTTATATTGTAATGCAAATCACATCATTAAATCAGACTTGTCTTTAATAAAAAAGTAAAAAATGAAAAGAATAATAATAGGCTAGTATCTTGTTTGGGAGGGATTAAAATCAGATTAAAATTGAAAATATAGCCGTTATTGTTGACTTTTATTAGACGGGTGAGACCCAATAACGGCCATATTTTCAATTTTAATTGGATTTTAATCACTCCCGAACGGGGCCTTCCTCTTTTGCAAATAGTGACATTTTCTGATCAAAATTTTTGATTGCTCAATTATATATTTCATGGTATCTATTTATGTATAGTACACATAATGCGTAGTCAATCATTTAATAAAAATACCCGTGAACTTAGGAAAATTGATTGTTTGTCTTCCATATATGTTTTAATATATAAAAGTAAATTACAATCAATGATTTATGAATGCATTCCATTATTCATTTTCTAGAATATGTGATTATATACTAGTATATAATCATTTATATATGTCCCGTGAAATTAGTCGAGGTGCATTGGTCAGGTCTTGGGTTTGCTCCCCAATGGTCACCAGTTCGAGTCCCCTCAGGGCCACTGAAGTGAGTACCCGGCCATAAACTTCAGGGTCCCGTGACATTAGTCGAGGTGCGCGCAAGTTGGCCCGGACATTCACGGTTATAAAAAAAATATATATAATCAATTATATATTTTAGCATATAATTGTATCAATCACATATTTGATTTGTCTAAAATCCCCATCTCCCTTAATTTCCTCTCTCTCTTCCTAAATACAAGGCAAATATATATTTCTAATATCCCCTCCTAATATTTCCAAAAAAAAAATAAAAATGGAAAGAATAGCTATTCCTGGGTTAGTGTTCATGGACCGGAATCTGAAACTTCTGAAAATTGCAGTTAGGTCCCTTAACCAGGGGCTAGTTCACGGTTTGGTCCCTGGATTTTTGCATTTGATTCCTAATTAAAAATTTAAGACATTATAATTTTGGTGCAAATCTATTTAGTAGAGATGTCAAGAAAGCTGAGAATCGGAATATAATGAAGCAAATAAATGTAGAAATGAACCGGGGAGTAAAAAAGGGGGGTAGGAAGGGTGAAGAACAGCAAGATGAGAAGCTGTACTGTATCATCTGGTTGAAGTTGCAACACCATAATAGACATATTCGAAGTGTTTGTTCATATTAATGATTATTTTATGCTCTTAGTGTCAAAATATGCCATTATGGAAATGTACATGATAAAGGACTTTGAGTAGTTAGGCATGATCCTTTATTTTTTTGAGTGTTCCTACTAACTATACTTATCTCAATCATCAAAATCCTGAGTGTTTATGTATCTTTTTTCTTGCAGGTTAGAAATTTAAGAATTGGAGCTATGATGAGAACTGTACTTCCTGCTTTGGCTCAGGCTATTGTGTTCAATTCTGCTGATACAGAAACTGAGTGTTTGAAGGATCATCTTCAGGTTTGTTTTTCATTTGGGGTTGTTCTATCATGTGATACCACAGTACATATTTACTATTTTCCAATTGTTCCTTTGTTCAGCATCCTGCTTCCTTTTATTGATGAACTTCTACTTACTTGAAAAGATGATGGTGTACTTATCCTTTATGCATTGAACCAAACTATAGTACTTTAATGTGCTTTCCATTTGTTGATGCTACAGTACTTCTCCTTGCTAAATCTTTCATTTTTCTCCTTATTTATGTTAGTGCCTATCTGGAGCAGTAGTTGAAGCATATAATGTACTTCCCAACTTGGTAAGATTTCGTCTCCAACTCTATATGTTCTTAGTAAGGGCGATGGATTTGATTCATTACTCTTAAAATGGATTTGCCAAGGTTTCTTCCAAATGCTAGAAAGTGGATATCATGCCTGTGGAGTTCTTTATGATGAATCGGAGTATTTCATCTGTGAAAAGAATGAGTGGAATTCTTGAATGTTTCTATTTTAAGTCATGACATTTTTAAACGTATACATATTGACAATGCTTGGCTGGACTTGTCTGGCTTCTTTTTGTATATTTTGACTGTCAAGTTAATTATTCTATGAAACATTCGGTGATTACAAACTATTGATAGTGTCAACATTCATTTTCTTTACTTCAAATCTTCTACATTTTTGACAATGGTGATTTTTTTACTATCACGATTCTTTGATTGCTGTTGTCACTTATTGCTTGACTTCTTTGGTCAGGATTTACTCGTCCCTTCCCTAATGGAAAAGGGGGTTAAGTTCTCTTCATTAACCTTGTCAATGGTTCCAGGCATACCAATCAAACCGATGCTTGCAAAGTATCTATGTATTTTGATTGCTATTTTTAACTAATGATTTTTAGAAAGATTACTACTAGAGCATTTCTTATTGTTTTTAGTGTATTCCTTGTGATAGAATTACTAATGGAGCCTCTCAAGTACTGAAGCTCTTCCAAAACAAAGCATTTACATGTGAATACAAGTAAGTTTGATTGAATTTCATCTTTTTTCATATTTTATCGTGCTGTTCATATTTGGTCTTAATTCCAAGATGTGTTCTAAGTTAATGTTTTGTTAGAAATAATTGTAATTTATTGCATTCATATTGTATAGTTGACCTCATTAGCATAATTCGAGGATACATTTTAGGGCGTAATTAGATGAGTGATGTTAGGGCATAATTAGAGGAGTGATATTAGGGCATAATTAGAGAAGAAACTTAGGAAGTTGTGAGGTTTTCTTTCCTATATGTTAATTGTTGTAACCTTTATAATTTATCAATGAAACATATGAAATTCCACGATTTTTTTAGAAATTATTGTCGTGACAAAAGTAGGTTTTCCTGTGGACTTGCTTACTTGTGTTGTTAACAATTTGAAGAAAAATTTCAGTGTTATTTACACCCTTTTTTTTTTTTGTGACAATGTTGCTCTAGTTGTTAAGATTGTCATAAGATGACAATATCGTATGGGACCATGTATATCCATGAGTTGGTTAATGCAGTGCCCCTTGAAGATAAATTGCAGGAGCATCTTTGAAATAAGTTATGTGATGAAGGCTACTGGAGGCACTGTTAGGAAAATTGACAGAGTATTTACAGTAAATCTAGAGAAGAGGTAGACCTAGATCACAGAAATTTTGAACTAAAAGGATTTGGGACTTTGTACTTTTACTTTTGAGTAACCCTTGATCAAGTGGAGTGGAATGAAAGGATTCATGTGTCAGAAACAAAAAAGCTTTTGGATAGCACTTTTCTGGCCGTGGTGTGGTTTGTTTGCAGCAGAGAGAACGTAGAATTCTTTTTTTTTGTTGGGGGGATACCTAAGTTTGGTTTCTTTACTTGATGATTTAATGTTCTTTTACCCCTCTCGCATCCGTTTCTATACTACTGCAGATTTTCTTTCTGTGTGTATCTACACAAGGAGTTGGGGCTTGGAAGGGAATGTTAAGTCTAATTTGAATCCCCAATTAACTGATAGTTGTAGTTTGATTTCACATAGTTTTAGACCAGGGTTAAAAACTCTCTTTGCGCAATGCATCCTAACATTTTCTTTGAAGTCTTTACCATTTCTCTTCTATCAAATCCATAGCTCCATAAATTGATATGATGTACTGTTGATTCGGGCACTTCCTTAAAAGAATTCTGGATCTTACTTGATGCACGAGTATTGATTTGAGCAAGGTTGAAAATGGTAATGTTTGTATGTATATTTATTCATTTTTCTGTTTTCTGTTTGGTTTTTTAGGACTCCCTGGAATCTTAATCTTCATAGATTTTAGAAGCTTTTCAGTCCTCAAATTTTTCGTTTGTTGTTTTGTCAAATATATACTATTTGCGTGAGAGAGTCCATGCTTCTACTTGAAGAATTCATGCTAGCATGGCTTTCTAAGATCAAAACACTTGTTTTGATTTCCTTCACTTTAAATCGTAACAAATTTGTATAATTTGATCCTTGATTGGATTACCATCTTTTGCTGTCTAGAAGCATTATCACTATCACGTAAACCTCCATTTAGCACTACAAAATCAAATTTGTTTTCTCCATGTCTTCTCAGATATGATGGCCAGCGAGCTCAAATTCACAGATTACCAGATGGTTCGATACATGTTTTCTCGAGGAATGGTGATGAAACCACATCAAAATTCCCTGATATAATAAACATAATTAAGGAGTCATGTCCTGGAGTAGTAACATTTGTAATAGATGCAGAGGTAATTCTTTAATTCGTCCTTCTCTTGTCCTTCTTTTTAACTTTTCATTTAAAGAATTCACCTGAAGGATTTTCAGTTGACTTTCAACTGTGGGTTCAGATGTTAAGCCATTGAGATACATAGGTGAAGGAATCATTTGTTTTCCTGATACTAAACATCATGCTCTCTGATTTCAGGTAGTTGCAATTGATAGGAAGAATGGCTTGAAGCTTATGTCATTCCAGGAACTGTCTTCCAGGGAGAGAGGGAGCAAGGATTCCCTGATTGCCGTAGACAAAATAAAGGTTCTTTAAATACGTCTCCTTTAAGTGAAAAACAAATGTAAAAATATATAAAAATAAAAAAATTGCTGCTTAGAGCAACGCAACTGTTTGTTTCCCCTTTAGACTGATATTTACTGATATAGGAGGTGTTTGAGCCCCATTATTTTTGAAAAAATGTATTTTGGAATAGTAGATTGATGGAGAATGCGTGGTTAAAAAAGAAGATTTTTTTTTTGATTTGCGTGTATATTATTTTAATGAATAATGTGTGGTCGAAAAAAAGAGCGAAAAATATATTTTGGGAAAAATAGGAATCCAACATCCCCATAACTAGATGATCTGCAGTCTAACTTCCTCTAAGGAGGGCGATTTTTAATTTTTTAGGCTTGCATGGTTGTGTATTCGTGGTTAACACAAACTTTCCTTGGTAAAGAAATATTCTTTCTGATGTATGTTTTATATAGTTTGATTCTTTCACTGTTATAATAAGTGCGAAAATGATTTCCTTTTGTGGGAATCCAGGGTAAGACTTTTTTGCCCTTCCAATTTCAAGACGTCTTATTTGTAAGAGATTTTTTGTAGTCTAGAATTTCGGAAGTATGTATCTGTAGGAGTTTATCCTTCTATGGATGCATTTGATAGTCTTATGCATTATCTTAAGTTTAAAACAGTTGTTGCACGAGAAGTTAAATTGAGCAATTAAGAAATTGAAGATTATCCAAACTGAGGATCAGTCAATGGATCAATGAAGCGTAGGATTAATGCCAAATGTTCCAATATCGTGATTCATGATCAAATATACAAAATTACTACCTATAGATGAAACGTGTATTAAGAGATAGCCAGTTAACGTGCTCTTTAAGTTGTGTTTCATAAATGGCACGATATCTGTTATCCCTTTTAATTTTGTACATTAGTTTTTGAATTTTGATGCTGTGAGTTCCTTTTTGTAATTAAATTTTGGTATGTTTTGTCTTTGCAGGTCGACATATGCCTTTTTATCTTCGACATCATGTTGGCAAATGGAGAGAAGTATTTTAAACCAATTCTTTATATCTTCATATTTTTCCTTGCTCAATTTGAGGCTCACAAGTCATAAGACATTTCACCGGCAGATACATAACATTTTAATTGTTGGCGAAGAAATTAAGTTATGATCATATGCTTAGTAAATAAAATATTGTCAATTGTATTGCCTTTTGCCTTTTCTTTCACCTTTTTTTTACCTGTTTCTGGAGTTTCTGTTTGGCACCACGAAACATGTGCAATAGTCAGATTTTCTTATGCCATATGGAATTCTCTTTGCAGGCTGCTCGATTTACCCCTCCGTCAAAGACGAAAATGTATTCACTGGTCTATGCATTCAGATCATGTCTTTGATTGTTTTACTTGGCAATGTTTAATATGTTGAAACCCATTCTTTACTCTTATCTTGAATCCTGCTCCACAATATCAGATTTGAAGAACTTGTTTGGTGACGGGAAACCAGGCTATTTAGAATATGCAAGAGAAATGACAGTAAGTATCTACTTTGTTAGTTTAAACATGTTTGTCAGTGTCATTATGAAGTCACCCAGCTCTTTTAGGTGGAAGCAGAAGATTCTGATGCAAACAATGAAGCCACGTTGAATAAGATGATCAACTTTCTTGATGATGCATTTCGTTCCTCTTGTGAAGGCATAATGGTTAAAACTCTCGATGTAAATGCTGGATATACTCCGTCAAAGCGTTCAGATACGTGGTTGAAGGTATCGTGTACAGGAGCTCTAAAATATTCCTAATCTAAGAAACAAAGAAGCTTTATTATATAAATAAATTATCCTGTTTTGCAGGTCAAGAAAGATTACATTGAAGGATTGAGTGATTCCTTGGACTTGGTCCCTATTGGTGCTTGGCATGGAAGTGGAAGAAAAGCAGGATGGTAAAATTAAGATCTCTGATTCTCCTCTGTTATATTTGAAGTCAACTGTTAAAGAACGTAAGAGTGAAGATAAACCAAATTATACTGCATTTTTTATATTCAATTGTAACGTATGAGGCTAAACATGCTCTGGTGGGATAATTCACTAATTGATGGATAATCATAAAAACGAATTGGATTGCTATTCTCCAGTTAAGTATTTGATTAACAATCACCGATGCACACAAAAGCACGTATTTGTTTTAGTAATGGAAGTTTCTTTGACGATGCTTTCCTATTCTGGTTCTTGGCAAATAAAAACACTTGCAATGTCTGGTTTTCGATAAGGGACAAATTTTCATGTTTTTAGGTATAGTCCATTCCTAATGGCCTGCTATAATCCTGATACTGAAGAATTCCAGAGTGTCTGCCGTGTCATGTCTGGGTTTTCCGATGCTTTCTACACACAGGTAATTTAAAGCTATTTTTTTGTTTTCAAAAGTTATATTGTTCACGGGTGTGGAATTCTTAACACAGGTGCTGTTTAAGTTTCGAGAAGCTCGTTGGTTTATTCTTTTTATCAAACCCAGTGATTTTGTAAACATTGTTACTTTTCTAATTTACTTTTGCAGATGAAAGAGTTCTTCTCCGGGGACAAAATCCTTTCTAAAAAACCACCATATTATCAAACTTCTGAGGTGCCTGATATGTGGTTTTCTCCTCAACTTGTCTGGGAGATAAAGGGTGCTGACTTCACAGTGTCACCAGTTCATCATGCTGCCATTGGTCTAATCCATACATCTCGTGGTATCTCAATCAGATTTCCTAGATTTATTCGCTCCATCTCGGATAGAAGCCCCGAGGAATGTAGCACATCTGCAGATGTAGTTGACATGTTCCATTCTCAGACTAGGAAAATGGATTTGAGTGGCAAAGAGTGAGTACAGAATGTAGTTCCATGGCTGAACGTCATTTTACTTGTGTACAGATTTTGAGAACTTCTTTTTCTTTCTCACCATACTTTTTACCTATGGTAACTTTGCTCGACTTTGAACTCTTTTGCCCGAAGGAGTTTGAATAAACCTTTGTTTGGTCCAGATTTTTCTCAAATCTCTAAATACATTTTATAGGATCCACAACTTCTCATCACTTTTCAATTACATTCTAAGCTTTAAAACTCTCGTGGTACACATTGTTTATGAATCTTAAAATTTAGTCAAAATTGAGTAGATAGTCGTGTCCAATTTATATTTTATTTTAATAAAACAACTCGATCAAATTGCTCACATGGAAAAAAGAGTAGAGTAGTGAGAAAAAGGGGTGAAACATGTGCAAAATTATTTTAGATGAAAAACAGTACTTGATCCCACTTGGTGCACCCACTTAGGATTTGAGTCATTGAAAATAGTCAAAATCTAAGGGTCTGTTCTCTTTGTCGTTTTCGGGCCGTTTTCTGTTTTCGATTTTTCAAAACGTCCAAAACGCGTTCTCTTTCCTATTTTCGAAAACAAGTTTTTGAAAATACAAAAAAAAATTACACTGAAAACACAAAATGATGTTTTGGTCGTTTTGGATGTTTTCTGTACAAAACTCGAAAAATCTTGAAAACACGCGAAACAAAGTGCACTGTTCCAAAAATGGCTGTTTCTTCCCACAACCCAAATCCTTTCTCCAGTTCCGTCTTCTCTCTTCTCCAGAAAAATTTGGACTCGAAAAATCTCTTTTCTTCTCTGCAACCGGACGCTGCTTTTGGGCCGGTGCCGGCGCCGGAGTGGGGACTGGGGAGGCGACGCTGCTGTGAACGTCCGTCTCTGCCGCCTCTCTCTTCGACGCCGACGACGTTAGTCTCTGCCTCCTCTTTATTTTTCTGTAGTATTTTTTGTTTGGGCGTTTTTTGGTTGTATTGATTTTGGTTGATTTTGGTGGTGGTAGATGGTTGATGATGGTGGCAGACGCTGATGGTGGTGGTTTCTTGAAGGTGGTGGTGATGGTGTTGATTTAAGTCAATTTTGGCAGTGCAAAGAGGTTGTGGTGATGGTGTTGATTTTGGTCGATTTTGGCAGTGGTTGAAGGTGGCAGAGGTGGTGATTTTGGTCGATTTTGGTTGGCAATGCAAAGAGGTGGTGGTGGTGGTATTGATTTAGGTTGGCAATGCAGGGGTTGAAGGTGGCAGAGGTGGTGATTTTGGTNAGGGGTTGAAGGTGGCAGAGGTGGTGATTTTGGTTGATTTTGGCAGTGCAAAGAGGTGGTGGTTTTGGTGGAATTGATTTAGGTCGGGAGGGCAGTGGTCGAAGGTGGTAGAGGTTGTGTTGATTGAGGTCGATTTTGGAAGTGGTTGAAGGTGGTGGTGGTGTTGATTTTGGCAGTGGTTCATGGTGTTTATGGCGGTGTTGTGGTGGTTTTTTGAAAAAACTATTATACACAAAACACTGTTTTGAGTTTCAAAGTAAACGTGTTGTCTAGTTTCATGTTTTCAGAAACGGTTTTCCAAAACAACAAACAGAATGCGTTTTCAGCAATTTCAAAACAGACACTCAAAATACAAAACACAAAACGAATTCAAAACTCAAAACAGAAAACTGAAATACAAAGAGAACGGCACCTAAGTTGCTAGCTCGGGAATTTTCAAATAAAGAGTTTTACTCGGTCCATATACTTTCATTAAATTAGATTGAGTTGTTTCTGAATCAATAACGAAAATTGAAATTTGTATATAGATGCAAAACATGATATACGTAATATTTAGATGACATAGTAAAGCATTTTTTCAATTCAATAACTACTAAAATGCTAGAAAGAGGTGAATAAAAACAAATTAGATAAAATTGTAAAAGTGCGCTATTGCTTTCTTTCCCCAACATCAAAAAGGAAAAATTCATGGATCATGTATTAACTTGACATTTGCAAAAATCAGGTGTTAAAAGTTTTAAATTTGCAAAAATCAGGTTTTACTTTTTATTAATTAATTAAATATTTAATTGTGCAATTTGGTCACAAATATCTTATTAATTAGTTAAAAATAATTTTAGGTCATAACTTATCAAAAAATTTATAGGTCACAATTTTTTTATCGGTCACAGATTAAAAATTTTNTTTCAGCAATTTCAAAACAGACACTCAAAACACAAAACACAAAACGAATTCAAAACTCAAAACAGAAAACTGAAATACAAAGAGAACGGCACCTAAGTTGCTAGCTCGGGAATTTTCAAATAAAGAGTTTTACTCGGTCCATATACTTTCATTAAATTAGATTGAGTTGTTTCTGAATCAATAACGAAAATTGAAATTTGTATATAGATGCAAAACATGATATACGTAATATTTAGATGACATAGTAAAGCATTTTTTCAATTCAATAACTACTAAAATGCTAGAAAGAGGTGAATAAAAACAAATTAGATAAAATTGTAAAAGTGCGCTATTGCTTTCTTTCCCCAACATCAAAAAGGAAAAATTCATGGATCATGTATTAACTTGACATTTGCAAAAATCAGGTGTTAAAAGTTTTAAATTTGCAAAAATCAGGTTTTACTTTTTATTAATTAATTAAATATTTAATTGTGCAATTTGGTCACATATATCTTATTAATTGGTTAAAAATTAATTTCAAGTCACTGCGTATCAAATTAATTGGTCACAGATTATTTTTGAGGTCACAAATCAAAAAATTTATAGGTCACAGTTGACTTCGTTGGTCACAGATCAAAAAATTTATGGTCACGTGTTATTTCTCAACCACGAATTAAAATTTTTTATAGGTAACAGATTGAAAAAAAAGCAAAATTTTTACTGGTCACAACTCTATTACAGTGAGTCACAGTCACAATTTTTAGGTCACGACACCCACCTTCGCCGCCACCACCATAGCCAACATCCCAACCACCACAAAAAATATTAGATCCACATAACCACCACCGCCAACAAAATCACTGCACAACCACCGCAAAACAAGGGGAGGCAACGGGAATGGTGGAGAAATTAGGTTAGGAATCAGGGGTTTAATATACTACTTGATTTTTGCAAAAATAAACTTAGAACCTGAATTTTAAAATGGTAAACCTGATTTTTAAAAATGTCAAACTAAACTCTTGATTTTATGTAATTTTCCAATATCAAAATGTCATTATTGTGTCCATAAATGGGCCGGTCAGCTTTTATCAATAAGCCCAATTAAAGCAAACTCCCGCCAAATTGAAGAACCGGATATATCCGGTTGCTACAAATGTAGCCGGTCACCAGTATAAAACCCGCTCTGTGCAGAACACAAGCAAAACGAAAACCCCAAAAGCTATGCATTTCTCGTCCCAATGATTTAATTTTTTTGATTTTCTTCAAATTCTTCTTCTCAATTTTCAAAAGTTTCCCATTTCTATGAATTTCGTGTTTTGTATGATTTCATTTGATTCGTTCCTTAGCAATTCCGTGACTACTTCAAATCCCCCACCATCAATTCTGGTACAATGAGTGCAGTTAACATTACAAACGTCGCGGTGTTGGATAATCCGGCGTCGTTTTTGAGACCCTTCCAGTTCGAAATCTCCTACGAATGTGTTTCTCCTCTTAAAGACGGTACTTTCTTGCTTCTCACTTAATCTTATATTTCCTTCTATTGTTTTATTTTTGGTTTCATTTGCTATTTTTTTAGTTGAATTCGAAGTGTTATTTTATCATTTGAACATGTGCGGTATTGGATTTATGTTGTGTTTGGCGCTTAATGAATTAATTTCTTTTTTAATTAGTAAAAGATAATAATTTAGCTAAACTAAAATGTGTTTTTAAAGTAATAAACTGGACAGCTGTATTCTAGGGCTTTTGATGTTAAATACTAATTCAATTTTCATGATTTCCCTTTGCATTCAGAAAATATGCTTTTATTTAGCTATATATGTAGTATGATTCAAGGTTGATGTATCATTTCTTGTTCTTGAAGATCGATTGTGGTGCACTGGATTCAACAATTGACACTGCTCTCTGGGCTTCCATAATTGGGATGTGAGAAAATTTATTTAATATGCCTTTTGAATGTTTCATGCACGAAAAGAAAAAAAATCTGTGGTTCTGAGTATTACACCTAGTTTCAGGACGTTTTGAATGTGAATCTTTTGAAGGAGGCTTTGAGGACCCGATGATTAATCAGGAGAACTATCTTTGACGTTTCTAGTTAGGTATTTTTATGTGCTCATGTGATGTGGGATTTGTGCTCCAATGGGTATTTTCACTAGTCAGTACTTCATTAGTTTTATTTATGCCATAATGCGCTTTTCTCTTGTATAAATTTGGAAAGATATTTACAAAAGTAAGGTTCGAGAAAGTGCTAGATTGCAACCGCAGATTGTCACTGAGATTAGAATCCTGTTGTTTTGGCTTGCAGTGTTATATAAATGTGTGCGCATAGGTTAACTAGTCTCTATGTTACACGTGTGCATACAAGATTGGCGCATTAAATACATGGATTGGACAAATCATGCTCCGATTATATATATGATTTCGTAGATAATATTACAAAATCATTAGCATTTCCTTTCATCAAGGGATGCTCATCTTATTAAAAGCTCTCTGACAAGACCTGAAAAACTAAACAACGGCATTGAGAAAACCTAATTCAACCGGGAGTTTACTATATTAAGAAATAACTTTAATTAATATGTTAGATCTATTAAGAAAAAATTAAAAAAGTACGAAATAAAAAAGCACAGTTTTGAGGGTTAATGAGAGCATTTATAATTCTAAAGGATGTCTATGATATTTGTGTTAACTTTTCCATTGGTGGTAGCGAAGTTTACCAATATGGGAGATATATTTTATTCCTTTCTTTCTTTTCTTTGACCTCAGTAGGTTTTTGGTGATTGTTTGAGAGAGAGAAGAAACCATTGAGTGGCATTCTTGGAAACGTAAAGAACTGTTGTCTCTTGGAATCAAAAGCGAGAAACCCTCTGTAATTGTGCGCACATGCTCTTGGGTATGGGTGGGGGAGCCATTTTTGTGTTCATGTCTGTGCTGGTTGTAGTGTCTTGTACTAGCAATAGCCCTAGCCATGTGCAAACTTGCTTGTTTATGATTTGACCTCTTTATCACAAACTAGTGGCCAAGACTGCACGGTTCAGTATCATGTTTAGCACTACCTTCTCTATCGTATTTTAATGCATTTAATCTATTTATGTTCATTTCCATGAATACTCTGTTTATTTTTTTATGTTTACCTCCGCACAGATGGGTCTGCTTTATAATCTAGCTTTGGTTGGACAAAGTAAAATACAATATTTTTTGCAGTTTGTAATTGTTGAAGTGCATATGCAGATTTGGAATGGAAACTCATCTATGTTGGATCTGCCGAGGATGAAACTTATGACCAACTATTAGAAAGTGTTCTTGTTGGACCAGTCAATGTGGGAAATTATCGTTTTGTTCTGCAGGTAAAGCAAGTTCTGTTGAAAAATGATTTTTCAATTCACTGTTGTTATATATACTTGTTGAAATTTTACATTTTGTGGGATTGATAACAGGCAGATGCTCCGGATCCTTCGAAGATCCGTGAAGAAGATATAATTGGAGTGACAGTGCTTCTCTTGACCTGCTCTTATATGGGTCAAGAATTTGTTCGGGTGGGCTACTATGTCAACAATGATTATGATGCTGAACAGCTGAGAGAAGAGCCTCCACAAAAGATCTTGATTGATAGGATCCAAAGGAACATACTAACTGACAAACCTAGGGTAACTAAATTTCCCATTAACTTTTACCCTGAAAACAATGAAAGTGGAGACCAAGGCCCTCAACCTGAGAGTGCTACAGGTGAAGAACAACTGCCTTCTCCCAATAATGATGGACAACCATAACTCTAATGACTAAATTTTCTAGGCATTGGTTGGCCTTCTAAGTATGCTGTGCTATCAACTTAGGGTTGTCTTCTTTATGAACGGTTTTTTTAGCTTTCAACTTGAATCTTAAATGAAGCCATAACTGCAAGCTGAATCAAGTTTGACATCCTTTTTGCTGTTGTTAAAACTGGTCCTTCTACAATGTAGTCTGCCGTTCCAAATTAGGTCTTTTTTGTATTGGTACTGCAGAAAATACTTTTGGCAACTGTTATAGATCACAAACTTTATGATGACATCATGAAAAACTTATGCTATAGCGTCTGTACATCATCAATTGGGGGAAGAATTCTATGTTGTGGCAGTAAAATTTCATCCTGGTTTGTAAGACCATTAAAATCTTTCCGTTAGTCCCGAATAGTGGTGGTTTGCACAATATCCTTTAAGTTACGCAGATGCGCGCTGGGCTAGCGTCAATGAAAAGCTCCCTGCACATAACATTTGATTATAATCGAACGATATACTCGGTTTAAATCAGATGTTATTCAAAATAAGTTTCAAAGTGCATGAATCACACAGTAAAAGTTCCTTTCATGTGAATCATTTAGCTAGTCTGGGAGGATCATAACAGAAAACTTGGTTGCCCAAGGAAACTAACAAAATAAAATAAAATAAAAAATACATGTATGAAAACTGTTTTTCCTGTGTTTTACTTTTTTTTTTCCACCACGTGGTGCCAAAATTGGAAAAATGTCTGACTGCTGCAAACAGACCGTCAACTTGCTTACAAGTTTGTGCTCATGGATTTCTAGCCATATTTTGGATCTTCATTATTGCCTTGAAGACAATAAGTGACAGAATATTGTTTTCTTCAACTGTCATTTTTCCGTTTCTTCTTTCCTTGGTTTCCTTTCTCCAACCTTGATGCTTCCTTCTGCAGTTCACAAAAGGTTAAGCCCTATTTCGCATAACTTTCATAACTAAATATCAGCTCGAGAAGGTAGCATGATGCATGTTACCTTCCTTAATCTATTCTTCTGTTTCCGTTCTCCTTTGGCTTTCTTCTTGAATTTGGTTGGCTTCTCCTACCCATGTCATGGAGAAACAAATTTAATCAGGTCAAGTAGTTTAACATGAAAATAATCCATTTAGCCTTAGCTCTTGTTTGATCCCTATTATTTTCAAAATGGGTAAATAGCAGAAATGGTCCCCAACGTTTACACCCTTTGCTAAAATGGTCCCTATCGTTTTAAAATTGGCATTTGTACCCTTATTTCAAACGTTTCTTGCGGAATTGGTCCTTCCATCCAACAACCGTTAGAACCTTTTGAAAATTTGCAGAAATGGTCCCTATGGAATATAATTTAATATTTCGTTTATATATTTTGGAACGGCTTGCTTCGACGAGTGGTAACTTTCGCTAC